TTCCTAGGTAGCTTAATTTTTTTGGTGCGATGGTAAACGGGATTGTTTTTATAATCTCTCTTTCTGAAAGTTCACTATTGGTGTATAGAAATGCCTCAGATTTCTTGGGGTTAATTTTGTATCCTGCTACATTGCCAAATTCATGTATTAAGTCTAGTAGCTTTTTGATGGAGTCTCTAGGGTTTTGTATGTATAATATCATGTCGTCAGCAAATAAGGACAGTTTTACTTCCTCTTTTCCAATTTGGATGCCTTTTATTTCTTCTTCTTGCCTAATTGCAATGGCTAACACTTCCAGTACTATGTTGAACAGGAGTGGTGAGAGGGGGCACCCCTGTCTTGTTCCTGTTCTTAGGGGAAATGGTGTTAGTTTTTGTCCATTGAGTATGATGCTGGCTGTGGGCCTGTCATATATCATACTTGGTTTTTTATTTCTTCAAAAGAAGTTACCCATTGTTGGCCATTTTACACTTATGACTCAAGATGATTTTAGAATCATTTTGTCAAATTCCAAGAGGAAAGAAAAATTGTTGGGGTTTTTGATCAAATTACATTGAGTCTATAGATTGCTTTGGAGAGAACCAACATCTTTATATAGTGGGTCCTCCAATACAGGAAACACTTAGCATATCAGTGTTTAAGGGAAAACCCTGTGGCTGTAGTTGATAACATTGTGTTGTGTAATTGCAATTTGCTAAGAGACCAGAAGTTAAATGTTCTTACCAAAACAACAACAAAAGCAAACCCACAAAAAACAAACAAATAACATACATATGTGAGATGATGGATATGTTACTCAACTATATGGGGGGAATCCTTTCACAATTATATCATATTATCTCCATGCTCACTTTAAATATCTTACAACTTCATTTATCAACTACACCTCAACAGAGCTGAACTTTTAAAAAAGTAACATCAAAAAAGTCCTTATCTTTATACCTACCATAGCTCCTAAGACCTAATCTACTTCAGATATGTGAGCGGCAAGGCTACTTACATTTGCCTTTCCCATCCCCAGGAAATCCAAACACTACAAACATGGCCTGTTTTCCCCTAGCCGCTCACTTTTCTCTCTGTTCCTGAGATGACAGCCCTAAAATAGAATGCCATGTTATAGGTTCAAAGTTGCACTTGATCTAAGTACTCAGGAGACCTAAAAGATTTTTTTGACTCTGAGGATATGAAATATATCTTGAAGTAACTGCAAACAAATATACCTTACAATGAAACACACACACACACACACAACAGGCCTGCAAATGACTAACTCCCCAAATCATAATTTAGAAATAATTCGTAGTTGAGAACTGAGGCTCAGGGAGCAGAAGAGAAAGAGGGCGGGAGAGAGCGAGAAAGGGGGGGAGGGGTCCTGGAGGGAGGGAGGAAGAGATGGAGAGAGAAAGCGAGAGGAGTTAGCATAGAATAAGCACCTATCACTGAGGCTTCCTCCAATACCTTGAGACCTTCACCAGCCCTGGGTTCCTGATATGGGAATAAGCAAAGGGAGCTTTCAGTGAGGTAAAAATGATTAATGGGCGTTAGGGACTGATTGATGAAGGGAGAAAGCAAAGCAGAAAAACAAGCTCTGAATTTAATAAATAGAAGAGAGAGAAAAAAATACCATCCAGAAATACTTGACCTAGGATGAAGAGAGACTCTTTATGTTAATGTAAAGAGTTATGACGACTAGGAATATCAATCTGAAAAAAAAAAAGAGTAGGAATATTTCCACATCAATGCCTCCATGGTCAAACTAAGGAATTATTCCCCAGGAGAAATGGAGAAACTAATTCTTTTTTAAAAAATATATTTTATTGATTTTTTACAGAGAGGAAGGGAGAGAGATAGAGAGTTAGAAACATCGATGAGAGAGAAACATCGATCAGCTGCCTCCTGCACATCTCCCACTGGGGATGTGCCTGCAACCCAGGTACATGCCCTTGACCGGAATCGAACCTGGGACCTTAAAGTCTGCAGGCCGACGCTCTATCCACTGAGCCAAACCGGTTTCGGAGAGAAACTAACTCCTGAGGGAACTAGAAGAGAAAGCACCAGAGGACAGACAGAGGGGAAAAGGAATTGTGACCAGTGGGAACGGCCCAAACAGGATCTAATACATCTTTTCCACTCTCTAGTTTCTGTGATTCTCTGTGTCCACGCAAAGGGAATGATGTTATCAAGAAATGTTTCGTTCAATGGTCAAGCAGCCATTAAGCAAATACAGCCTGGAAATGAGAACTGGATTTTTGGTCTTAAAAATATACAGAGAGCATCCTGCTCTTCTGCGGTGAGTTTATGTTCCCGTCTGTTCCCGGGCAAGAGTCAGCAGGCAGCCCGGCGGCATGGTGGGGGAGATACGCCTGGTACCATGAGATCACAGGGCTGGAATGTGGAGTTCGGATGGGGGGAGGATGGGGGTTCTGTGTTCAAAAGCACTGGAGTTGGGGGAAAGCACTGGAGTTGGGGGGGTGGGGGGAAGCCTGGGCTTCCTAGTGGATGGGAGGCAAACCACAAAGAAAACAATTTTAGGACTAGCCACAGGCATTCATTCACTCATGGGAAGCCTGGAGCATCAACCTACAATCCCATCACAAAGTATGGGGGGAAAAAGGGGGCATTTTCACAAAACAGGGCTTCATTTTTATTTCAGGTGTATTTCCTTAACAAATGCCACTTCCAACCAGGACAGTGATTGGCTCATTTTGTAACAGGATCAGCACTCCCAATGGGCAGCTGCAGCCCTGGGATTTGAACTGTTCCAGAAGAGAGGGTGGGTGTGCGAATCAAAGGGAGAGCATACTGATCAATCCGGCAGATGTAGCTAAAACTCCTCCTGTCTGAAGGGACAGTGCATATGTAAAAATCGTAATTATTTTAATTTTAACTACTGCACCCAACTACAATTGAAAAATCTCAAGCTGCTAATTATGGGAAAAGACAGTTTTTGTGATTAACTAAATAGAGCTTCTTATCTTTAATCACTAGTGAATAAAATACATTAAAAGGAGGCTGCCTACTAGCTTTGAAAATCAATGACGGTGGGAACCAGACATCAACAAAAGATTTCAGACTCATTACAGAATCCTGCTTACATCCAGCCGCAACGTCAATTGTTCATCACACCTGTCTCAACCACAGTCAAAGGTAAACCAAAAACTTGGCTGAACAACTACTATGTCCAATTGGTCTTATGAACGGCATGTTATCACAGATTGTGATAAAGGAGTAATCAGCCTGGCCAGTGTGGCCTAGTGGTTGAGTGTCAGCCTATGAACCAGGAGGTCACGGTTCAATTCCTGGTCAGGGCACACACCTGGGTTGCCAGCTTGATCCCCAGTAAGAGGGCATGAAGGAGGCAGCCAATAGGTGATTCTCTCTCATCATTGAAGTTTCTATCTCTCCCTCTTCTTCCTCTCTCTGAAATCAATCAAAAAATATTTTTTAAGTAATCAACAATAATAGTATCAACTAATTGGGATGAAAGTCTTTCTGTAAGTCTATTCATTCTGTGTGTAAATAAAGTATACAGCTTAACACTCTTATTCCTTAGCTCTCTGTTAGCATTCTCAATTCCATCCTTTATGTCACCCAACTATTTCAATCCTAGGCTCCTCAAATATCTCCTCAAAACTCTTTAAAATGTGTGCACTACCAATTAGTGATTTAAGAGCTGAAATAGAGGCGACCCTGTATAGCAAAACAGCACTTCAGCCGGGAGGACCCAGGTGCTGCGTCTTTGAAG